TGTTGCGCGTCTGTTATGGCTTCTAGTGAAAACCATAAGAATGACCGATAAGAGCTGGTCTTGATCGGCCCCACGGTGGACGCCAAATGTTCTTACCGGAATTTGGTCGTAGAGATGATCCGTCCAGTAAGATCGGTGAGCCTCCTTTGTTGATACGTTAATGCTCCAAGATGGGGTTGGTACCTGCAAAAGAGACTCCGATGCTAAAGTTAGGGTTTGTATGAGTATGGGTCTCGTATGAATAGTGCACGTACCTTGGTGTGAATTAGGGTTGTTTTGGGCTATGGGCCTAAGATAAGATATGATGAGATTAGATAATGTATCTCGCCTGGGGCGAGATCCCTTTAGATCAGTCACAATCTTCTCGGATACCGGGCTGACGTCACATAATGCGTGTCCGAGGTCATGTCGCGTTGAGGTACCGAGCTCGCAGCTCGGTTTCATAATACGGATAGTACACTATCAATTTAACAAGTAAAGTTTTAAATTAAATTAAACATTATTAAGTTTCGACTAATCACTAAATAGATAATGGTATTCGATTTGAAGATCGCCAATATGGCATTAATTATCTACTCGGAAAATTTAGGAGTGACATCTTTTACCATTTTGCAAGCATATAAAATTAAAAAATCAAATCAATTTAATTAAGGACATAAAAAGTAATTAATATTAAAAGTCCAAATTAGACATTTTAGAAGTGAGCTAATTTGACCCACTCGCGACTCAATACCTATTAAGGTGTCTTAAAATTTTCAAGTCAATAAATCCAACCCTAATAGATACCCTAAATTGGTTTCTTTAGAGAGTGAAAGGCGAGTTGTTTTTTTTTTTTTTCTTCTTGCTTGGAGCCTCCTAGTATTGTTGAATTTTCACCTTTTCCCACCAAAACACAACTGCTCTTCTATATCTTATGTGCTCAATCACCATTAATTTCCCTTTTCCTTCTTGCCTCTTGCTATTCTCTAAGGTTAGGGAGGAGACATTTTTATTTTCATGGAGCCTTTGTGTTGATTTTTCATTGTTCTTGCGTGTTCTTGAACTCTTTGCTACTATATCTCATTTTTGGGTAGAGATACTCTCTTTATATTTAAATTTCTGTATTGCTGCCTTTGTTTATTTTAATGGTTTGAAATTATTTTTAAATGATTAAAAAAGGTCTTGTGAATTGAATGACTTAGGAATACATCTATGTACCCTTAAAAGTTCAAAACCATGAAGATGGATGCTAAAAGAAATTCTTCAAGCCATTTTACCGCACTTATTTTAAGGATGTTCAATAGTGCTTATAATTTGAAAATAGGTGTCATAAACGCTCTTTTATGACTTTTAAAGTTTGGAACTTACTGGAGTTCGTTTAGTTGGAAAAGTTACTCAATTTTTTAATGAATTATTTGATTTTTGAAGTTTGAAATATGGAGGCTGTAGAAATAGCTTTTATGAAGCTTAAAATGATATCTAATGGTGAAAATGTTTACTAATGTCAGATAATATATAATATGTTCATTCAATTACCATTTTAAAATCAGAACTTTATATGTTTACTTTTGGGTATTCTATTTTCAAAAGGTTAAAAAATATGCAAATTTTTAATAAAAACAGTATGCTTCAATGTTCACGTTATTTGACTTTTCATTTTTTAGAGGATAAAAAGCTTAAAGAAACATATGGATCGTCATGTTCTCATATTTAGATTGTTTTAGGAGATCAATATTATAAATCTTTTTTTTTTAATTTCACTATCCCAAAAATGTTTTAATAAAATATAATAGTAAAATAAGGCATGTAATGACAAATCTTGCATGTAAGGTAAAACAAGATAAATAGGCATAAAATTGCCTTCACAAGTTTTCAAATGAAAATCTATAAGTTAGATATAATAAACTAAAGGAAATTATAATTAATTCATTCAGTTCTGATGACACACTAATTAGAGCAATCTCATCAAAATATAAGGCCAAAGTCTAAGTTTCGTCTATCTCAAACTCAAACCTATCTACCTAATTTGCATCTGAAAGTAATGTTCATCCCAAATAAGAACAACAAAACAAAGAGGAGTGACAATACATCTCACACATATGTAGGCATATACAAAAAATATAGATAGTATTTAAACAACCAACACATATTGCATATTAAATGCAAATCAATCACAATTCAAGCTCAAGCTCATACCTCCACATCATAAGAAACATATGATTCATGAGGAATCACACTCTTAATTCTATATGCATGTGGTACCAATCACATTTCACATAAGGTGCACACGTATGATGTAGTATAAGGGGACATGGAAAAGAAAAATGGTCAACACGCAATGGGAACCTAACATGTAGTCCATTTTTGCTAGAATGAAATCAATCAAAAGTCAGTCAGGGTATCATAGTTGCGGATGGCCACCTACCATTCCACATTAGAGGTTTCCTATGATAACATCCCCAAGGCCAAGGTAGAAGACCATGGAAATCCTCCCATAAAGACTCATAGTCCACCTCCAAACAAACTATGCCTGAATGCATGGACACTCAAGCACATCACCCAACCACACAAAAATGCACATTGTGCCTATCACATCATAACACTTCATCACATTGCTAAACAAGCCTAGACTTTATTCCTACTAGACCTCTATGTTTGGACTTCTCAAATGACTAACTCATCTTGGATTTCTTATTGCTAAGCCACTATCTGAGCTAACTCATATCACACATCAACATTTCATATCACATCACAAATAATCATCTCATATCACATCACACATAAACATCTCATATCTATCACACATAATCATCGCATATCACATTTCACATAAAATACCATATCGCATAATGCCTAACATATCATATCATGCACACCACATAGAAACATCTCATATGCAATACATACACAAAGTCATAAGCACAAGTTTTCACAAACATAGTTTCACATCTTCATCATAACCCGCTCATGATTCATTCACAAATGCTCCCTCTCACAATTTTTATTTCTTAACTATTGATATAAGTATATCAAACCATTCACAAGATTAAAAATTTAAAGGATAAAACAACTCACTGTTACAAATTACAAATGATTTTTTTTTCTTATATTAAGCTTTTATGACCTTGTGTGACCTAAACATAATATCTAAAGTTATACCTAAACTATCAAGTTGATCTTAATTTCATTAGAAAGCTATGATAATTATCTACAACTTCTATGTGCACCTTAAGTGTTTGCTTTACCATCTATTATACTTAAAAATTACAAAAGCATAACATTTAAGTTTAAATTTGATAGCTCAACCTCTTTTTACTAATTCAATCATATCTTTTGAATTTTAGATCTCTTTTTTTTTAGTGATTCTAACGACATTAGAAAGCTAATATCCAAGGGTATAATTCTTATGAAGATCACAATTCTAATTATTTCATTATCATGCCCAAAGAGGCATATTCCGCACCTAGCACCAAGAGACTTACATAAAAATAGCATCAAATGGTGCCAAGGGAACATAGAGCACTTATGAATCCATCTCCAGTGTGATTGACATTTGCACTTACTAAAAAATGCTATATAGGGTCCTACAACCCATCCAAACCACTTTTAAACACTTATAATTCCAATTCAATCAGTAAAAATACTCCCAATTCACTCTAGAACACTTATATATTTTCAATTTATGCTTAAAAACTCAAATCATATAAATCCCCAATTCACTATGATGAACTCCAAACCCCAAACAACCAAACCCATGATAGAGCACAATCCAATATATTTCTCAACAAATTCGCAATAGAAAACATTCATACACATAACAATGAATCAATAATATACATAATTCCATCAAACACAATTCAACAAGAACTTGAAGAGGCCCTGGGGTCTCCTCACTATCGATACTCCTCATATAAGCCCACATGGAGAGACAATTTTACTCCCCTTCTTTATTTTCATCCATCTATAATTTTGGGCATCTATTTTAAAATAGAAACATTTAGTTCCTTAATCTTAAAAATACGAAATTTTGATTCTCTCTTCAAATTGATATTTGTTAACCATTAAATTACAATATTGACTCATACTTAAATGATAAGACATTTAAAAACATGATATTTGGAGTTAAAAAAATACTATAAAATATTTAAATAATATGTATTAAAAAAATAAATTTAAACGAATATCTTTTGTAAGTTATTTTTTTTAACTTTTTATTCTTAAATATTATGTCATTAAATATTATGTAATTTAAGCGGTGACATATCATTAAACAATATTAAAATTTAATAATTAATGAAGATCAAATTAATGATAGAATTACAATTTTATATTTTTAAAATTAGAAAGATTAAATATTTTTATTAAAATAGGAAAATCAAAATTACATATTAACAAAAAAATAGAGAGACAAAAAATATAATTTAGCTAAAATATATTTATGATGTAATTCTCTTAACTTGTTGAGATGCATGATATAAAAATATTTTCGTTGTGCATGTTGACATTACCAAAGTTTATTTTCATAATGTATTTTGATAAGATATAAATAAATAAAAAATATTTTTGACGTGCCAGGAAACCCAAAAAAAACTTTTTTAATATTAACCGAATTTAAGTTACGATTTTAATAATAATTAAATTATCTTGTAAAAAAATAGTATTTTAATTAATTAATATTTTAATATATAAATTATCAACAATTTATATATAATTATTTAATTACAACTAAATAACAACTTGTATCATAATTATTTTATTTATTATTAAAATGAGTAACTTGTATCATAATAAATTAAACTGCTAGTAACATGCATCGTAGTAAAATCAATTTCAATATTGTACCCAAAAAATTTCAATAAAAAATATTGTTTGATTTTATTTGATTACTATTGATAAAAATAATTATATAATAATTATTTTGATTAATGTTAAAATATTAGTCAGACCAGGTTACATATTTTCCTTATTTGAAAAAAAAAGGTCCAAAACGACGTCACTTTGATTTAAGAATTTTGTTTTTAAAAAATGAACGTGGCAATGAAGTGAATCTCGCGTCCACATCTGTCGAACAGCCTCCGCCGCACTCCGCTCCGCACCAACAGCCCGCCGCCGTTTGCGGCGTCGTACAACCGCAAGCACCTCCGCACTCCCGTCGCGCAAGGTGCTCCGCAGTCTGTTAGCAGCCCTCTGCCTCTGTTCGCGTCTCAGCACAACAGGTTACTGATTTGATTTTACGTTTTCACTAATTCGGTTTATTGTTCTGTGATTTCTGTTGTAAACTATAAATGTGTAGTTGTAGGTTGTTGTAATTTGTGAAGTTGTAGGTTCATGTTGATTTAATTTCTGATATTAACAATCTGAATTTGAAAAAATGTTGATTTATTTTCCGATAATTTATAATTTGCTCTGTTCTTGTGCCGTGATGGTTCTAGTTTCACGTTTCAGAATTGCCACAATGCTATATAGATTTAGAATTACTTAACTGAATTCTTTGAATGATATGAATTTTCAGAAATTTTAATAGAGCGATTCAATTAGTGTCTTGGTCCAAAGTTTAAAACATTGATTTTATCCTCTGCAATGTACAATATAAATGTTCATTTTATATAACTAAAAGTTATAATAAAATAAATATTTTTAAATATATAAATTATATTATAATTAAAATTCATAATAACTAAATATTTTTTAATATATAAATTATATTTTAAATTTATGATGAATATTTTATATTGTGATTTTATGTTATTTTTAATTATTAATAATTTTTAAAATTTTTTGAAATTCAATTTAAAAATAAAGGTGAAAAAGATAAATTAAAAGAGATAAGGTAAAGAAAAGCCTCTAATAAGAACTTTTTCATTAAATGATAGCTCCTATAGATTAGAATTCATATTGATTTAAATTTTGAATTTAATTGCAAAGTGTGATTAAAAAAAAAAAGGCCCCATGTTTTCATAGAGATAAAATCAGTAACCAATTCTAATCTAACAAATAGAAAGTGATAAACTAGAAAAGAAATACCAGCAATATAGTTTTTAACACATTTTGTATTATTGGCTGAAATTTATTGAAAATTACAAATTTTTGTAAGTCAGATTATATATTTAATGAATCTCTTTCCTAATTTTGTAGTTTTTAATAAATTTTTATCTTTAGTATATAATATGTTAGAGTCTATTGGAAGCACTATTGTGAGTTTTCGTTGACAAATACTTTTCCTTCCTATTTAATATATTTTTGTTGAGTTAGAACTTAACGTGTCCCTTTCATTGAGAAACTCATATGAAGCCAGTTGATATAAAAGTAAAAAAGTAGTTTTTAAGAATTTCTTGAACAACCTTAGTATCTGTCTAGTTGTAAAGGGTAATTCTTAAAAGTTTTTTATTTTAGATTAAATTTATATTTTAGTTAGTGTTTTCATTTATATTTTACTCTCTCTTTCAGCCAACTAAACCAATGGAGTTTTATTTTTATTTCATTTCTTCTCTCCATCCAAATAACATATTGTGTCTATGTCTACTTTATTTCTTCTATTTTTATCATTCATTTTTTCTTTCTTTCTTTTCACTTCTAATCTAAACTTAGGAGTGTGCACGACCTGTCGCATCCTACTAACTCAACCCAACTCGATGCTGATTTTGTTAAGTTTGATTTAGAAATTATAGCTGATATATTTTCAGGACGAATTTAAGATATAATTCATGTCATACCAGCTCGATTTGGTTGCCTTGTGTACCAATTATTAACACTGTTTTAAGTTCTTTCCTATTTCCTCTCTGTATTAGTTAAAATGTATAATTTCTTTTTCCAGTTAACTTGGATGTTTGGATCACTAATGGATGATTCTTGTTTATTGCTTGTATTAAATTGCAGGGACTTGATGGGTACCGAATTTGAAACAATTGAGGCAAGATTAACATCTATGCTTGCCCAGCTTCAATCTGAGGGTGGCATCCTATACAGAATGGTATACAAGAATAAGAACCAGCACCGACGCTGCTCCTATTTCCAGCGTCTTTTGAAGGTTCACTACTAAATGTTATACATTATAGTTTTTCCCGGTCAGCATTCAATATGAAATTGCAAATTGTTTGACAATTTCATGAAAGCTTTTTTTTTTTTTTTCCTCTCTGAAATGTACAGAATTTTAAAGTGATTGCATTTTCATGGAAAGTTGAATGGAACATGTGTATTTACATTTGAGATTTCATGTATGTAATGGGTATTTATGTCCTTTTGGGTTTTATTTGTGCTGCATTGTAATTTGTAGGTGAGGAGGGATTTAAGACTTCTGCAATTGGCAAACTTGGAGGAGCTTGTAACATCATGTTTCCATGTCATTAAAGGAGATAGACCAAAACAGAAGGTTCATCTTTTAGAGAGGTAGGCTTATCTTATTCAATATGTACAAAGAATGAAAGAATTACTTCAACTATAAAGTTATGGTAACTGACTAAGTAATATGATGAATGTTTAAAATCTGTTGTGTTTATCGTGCTGATATTTCAAGTAGTTCCTCTTTTACCACTGTTTCAAGATTAGTGCCAGTATTCATTAAAGATAGGTTTCTGGGAGGTGGGGGACTAGTATGCCTCAGGTGCTTTGCACTGACATGGGGATTTTTTTTTTCTTTCATTATGTTGAATTTTCTTTACCTTTTCCTTTTCCTTGCGTGTAGTATGTTCAAGGCAAAGAGAAAGGAAATGGAAAACTTTGAAATTCCTATTTTACAAGATTTCATGAAAATGGGAAATGACAATTTTTAATGTTCATTTGAAGAGATGTAATACTGGTAGAAACCATTATTAAGATATACTGTTGTGCACTTATGGTTAAAGAATGTGGGAATCTGGATGTGGCAACATTATTATGCAAAAAATAATTACAATCCTGTGAGAGATGACTTACTCTCTCTTGTTTAACTGAATATCTTATGGTCATACTTCATTTTTTGAGTTTATTTTTGGATTTTGAAATATTCTCATAGTGAAATTTCCCTTCAGCATATGATAATATTATAAGTACTGTATTGATGATGATAGCATTCTACTTACCTTTTCTTTACAGCTTAAAAAGGAGAAAATGTGATGGTGAAAAGCATAATTTTATGGAGCGCCTGTTAGGAGCTGCACGTTTACTAGCTGAGGTGAAATTGCAGATAAATATTATTGTTGCTCTAATTGTTTTTCTTACTTTGTACATTAAGATCAGCATGTTTATATCTGGTAGCTCAGCTGTCCTCTTTCCTTGTATAAATATTACTATAATGACGATTTCACACAAATTGCTTGATTCTAATGGAAATCATTTTCCCTATGCATCATAATAGATCTAACATTGGATTGTTTATTTTTATGGAACCTATTCTCCTATTTCAATTTGTGTTTTGTTTTATTATGCAGATGGTTGAACCAATATTGAAGGCTGCTTCGTATCCTTCTGCTATATTAGTATCATCTGATTTGTATTTTAATGCTTTCCTCATTTATTCAACATGCTCATAGTTTACTTAATTGGCCATACTCTGGTCATGACATTAGGCATATAATTTTTTTCTCTTATTTCATACGATGGGTACATAATAACTTAATACTGGAGTTTATTTTTTGTGTTCTATCCTTTTGTTTACTCATTTATGTTGATACTTTTCCCTTTGCATGTCTGCTGATTGATATAGATCTTAATTGAAACATGGACTTCTTAGTTCATACTTGCCAATGTTGATGTCATCTTCTCCCCTTCCCTTCATTCAATTCTAGATTATGTTGATTTTGAAGTTCTACATTTCTGAAAGCTGTTTTTAGAATTAAGATTATGATTGTTTATGGTTATCTAATGTGATACTTTGGTCTGTTATTTTATCCATGAATCATCATTTTTTTTTCTACTTTGGAGGTGCAGAATGCTCAAAACGTTGAAATCTTTTATCATCATTAATGCCAGTAGTGCCATTGGTCTTTACTCTTTAGTATTCTTCTTGAACATTTTATGATAATCTGTTAAAATTGCAACATAGAAATTCTTTCCTTGACTATTTAACAGTGAGATATCTGTATTATTTGCTCAATCTTTTTTTATGGGATTTTCTCTGACAATAATGGCTCTGCTTGCACGTCTTCGAGTTTTGGTTCAACAAGTAAGTTTCCCAAATCCCAAATCCCAAATTCATGTATCTTATTTAATCTTGATTGTATCGTTTTTAAGTTGGTATTTATATAATGTGGAACACTATTGCAGAGGTTATTTTTAAATTAGATGGAAACTAAAATCTAAAAAGTGATATTATTAGATTAGCATTAGATACTGTAAAAAATGTAGATTATTCCTCTCTGTGATCATGAATTGATCTTATAGCTCTATTGATTTAGTTAATTCAAATTTCAAACTTCTTTTCCTCCTTGTGCAGATATTACTTGATGTTGTTTCATTGTTCAACATGGTTTCTCCCCTCTCTATAACAAAGCAATCAATAAAAATAAATCATAATGGAATTGAGGTTAGTTTGTACCACCAAATTTTCTGTATTTATATATTTATGCATGGACACATGGATATGAATCTAAAATGATATTCTACTCACTAATATATTCTCTCTTCCTTTTTGATATTTATATACTATTGAAGCAGGTTTTTAGAGATTTCTACCCTGTCAGTGATGATTTTGTTACATTAGAGTGTGTTTGGAAATCAGACAAGTTTATATTACTTGAGACGAAGCATAAAAAGAAGAATGAAAGTCAAGTTGAGGACTCTGGTGGAAATGTCACTATCCAAACATCCGATGTTAATTATACTAGTATTGAATCTTTGCTTGGGGTTAAGAACCATGGTTTGTTTGTTTCTACTGTTCCATATTCTCCAAGTCGTCTTTATTTTACTATTTTATTGTGTTGGGTAGTTCAACTTATGGCAACTTTACTGCTTTATAACAAATATCCTTCGACTTCTGGTGCTTGAAACAATTGTCTTTTTCATATTGCTATATTGTGGACTCAACAATTTTATATTAGCAAGTACTGAACTTGATCACATGTTAATATGATTTGTATTCAATAACTTCTCTTGTTCTGTTAAGTACAATTGGGAGTCGATATTCTGTTCTATTTGTTATTACTATGACCATTGAATCTCAAACATGTAAATGCTATTAAATGAAACAGAAAACTAATTAGTTTGATTGAATTAATCTTGTCATCCCAAAAGAACATTGGCAGAAATTATAAAGGATCTTATGGCGAATAGTATTCTTGATAATTTAGTTTTTAACCAAACCCAATGACATTACTTGATCCATGTCACCGACCTCACCTGGTGGGATAAGACTCTTGTTGTTGAATTGATCTTGTCATACTTGCTTTGTAGCTTGTGGATACAAGCATAAAATTGATTTTGAGAACTTTTCTATTTAAAATAAAGAGCTTTTTCTAGTAGAAAAGCTCTCAAAAACACTTATAGTTTGTATCCAAACAGACTTTTGTTATACTTTGGTTTGTAGAGTTCTTTTGATTAGGTTAAAAATTGATTTCTCAACAGTTGCAGTTTTTGCATGAAATTGAATGCAAACCACGTCAATAAATTCTTTTCGGGCTTTGGCCTTGTTGCTTTGTAAAAAATAAAAGAATTACTTTTCTCTCACCTTTATCAGTGACATCACGATTTTATATGCAAAGTTAAATTATAATTTGTTGGTGCTATTAGTTTTAACCAAGGCTCTTTAAATTGTCTTGTGTAGATGATCAGCTTGTTCCAGAGAGAGTAGAAGCTGACGGTGTTGCCCAAGAAAATCCCTCTCATATCGATGATACGAATACTGAGTTGTTGACTGGCTCATCACAAATTGAAAATAAGGAGACTATACATAATGAGGAAGGAAAAAATCAAGGTACCACAAAAGCCTCCATCAACGAATCTTCACCAGATGTTGGTTTGCATGCATCATCAAAGTCTTCAACCAATGACAAACTTCATTCTTGTTCGAAGAAGGTGGCATTTGTCTCGATCAAAAATCTTGCATTAACACGACACAAATCTTAGTGTCTGTTTGGTTGCAAGTAAACAACAACACTTGATCCATGTCTGGGCTGAAGCAATAATTTATAGCTTCTACATATTTGTTGATAGTTGACATGAAAATTTTGCCAAAACTTTAGTCACGAACGTGTCTCCAAACACACGGTACTAATTAATGTTAAGACATTCAACTTCGTGGGAAATTGAAGTGACCATACAAAGGATGACATGGGGAATTTCGATTGTAAATACAAATGTCCAAACACTTGCTAGTTGTTAGTTTATTTCCTGATGTAAATGCAAAGGAAAATTTCGAACATGACTAGGTATTTTTATTGTTTTGATTTCTTAGCTGGTCTCTTGGATTTTTCAGCAAGTATTTATAGAAAACTCTTGAATGTGTTTGGGTCCATAAGTATGAATTATATTTAAACATGCATGATGTTGACTTGTACTCTTCCTGGACTTATATATGAGCAAAATGCTTAAATTTTTGTTTCAAATATAAATACATTTTAAACAATTCATATGCTCTTTATAAAAAAAAATACTCTTAAAGGTAATAAATAAGAACATTGTCTACGATAAATGTGATTGAGAATATTTTAGCATAATGTATATTTTATATGAAATTATGAAAATTAAATGCATACAACTATCTTCTTTAATGTGAAGTTATTTTTTTTTCTTATATGTTCCGAGGGAGTACCTTTTAAAATGAACTGCCACTTAACAGGAGGAAAACTTGGTTTTGGACCTTTTGGGTTCAATCTTTACTTAAATATATTTATTATTAAGTAAATAACTTTATTAATTTATTAATTGCCACATATTTTTTACGAAATATATTTATATTTAGAGTAACTAAACCTTAGATTTTAGAAGGAAAAAATATTAAATATATATTTTTATAATAAATAACAAATATAGTGCTATTCTAAAAAACTAAGGAAATAAAATACTTTTTTTTAAGAAAATGAATGTTAATTAAATAACCTATAACTATAATTTCTTATAAATAATAAAATACTATTTTAAAAACTTAAATTGATATCTAAAATAGTTGTTTTTTAGAATTTAAAAATAAATAATATAGAATATATTAATATTATGTGTAAAAAAAAATGACAGTGTGCTAGACTTCTGGGGAAACGATAATGACTTCCATGAGAAGTCAAACACTTTCTTTTGGGAATGGACCTTCTAATATGAAATTTTCACTTCAATTATTTTGTGTAAAAATTTCTACCAGTAAATTTTATATTTTTTTATAATTTATTTTTTTCTATTTTTTAATTAAAGGTTGGGATTTCACTACTAAGATATGTCAATTGAGAAGATCAACGCTCCGCTTAATAGACAAGAAAAGTTAGATGCTAAAACAAAAAGGTGTCTTGATGATAGTTTGGTTTGAACTGTAAATGGAGAAAGAAGAAGAAAATTGAGAACATGGACCCTTGTTTGGTACGTGAGACATAGCATAGAAATAGAGTAAAAGGGTGTAAAATGGGTGAAAAATAGTTTAGTTGAGTGGGAAAGTGTCACCTCAAAATAAAAAGTGTTGACAAACATTTTTTATTTTCACACTAAGATATGTGAAAATAGTGTAAAGATGTCAAAATATTTTGTGATAACTTTTTATTGATATTTAAAACTCTAAATCTTTATTTGAATAAAAGAAGAAAATAAAAAAATATATATATTTCTTTCTATATTTTTTTCTATTCTATTTCTCGTATTTATTTTGCCTCTAGTCCTCTACTAATCACACCCTAAATTCTTTCAAGGGGGAAAGTGGTCGCGAGAGAAAGTTATAAGTAAGGATTTTTTTGACAGCAGTGAAAATAATATTTTCATTTTATGTGTTATTTTATTTTTTTCTTAAAATACAGTATAAAAAAATGTTTGTTTTTCTCTCTTACTATTTTCTATATCATTTTAAATTATTTTTTAAAATTTTATATGTTTATAATTAAAACTAAAAGCACATGTAAAAACATTTTCTTAAATTCGGCTCCACCTATTAGTCACATATGGGTCTTAATTATCAGTAATGTTTCATGTCACCAAATCTTAATATGTGAACTACAAGGACTATGGTGGGGACTAAAATAATAGACTTGTCATACAGGTTTAGATATCGTTTTAGAATTTTGTTATTTACACTAAATCCTATTTATTATTTTATTAAATAAATCTTTCTCCTTTTTTCCCTCCTTTTTAATAAGTTTTTTAATTATACTATTCATCAACTTCATCAATAATTATATAATTTTCATCAAAAAATTTAACTGATTATTTTTATCGGGATCTTCTCTTTTAATTATATTTTTTTCACACACAAAATTTAAACCTAAAATTTTACTTGAAGGAATCGAGTCTAGTAAACATGAACTCATAACTTGTTATTTTTTAATAGATTTCTTAAAATACCCATCTTATTTTACCCTTTTATTCAAATAATTTCTCTCTTCTATTTCTTTAAACAACTTTATTCTAGTGATCCATTTTCTATTTTTAATGAATAAAAGTAGTATACTAGAAATAGTATTCTTATAACTTACAAAGTAGAAAATCAATAACATGTTAAAAAATGGTAAATCTCTTTGTGTGCATGTATATATTCATTCATTTTTTTTAAAAAATATATTATATTCATCATTTCATACGTCATACTAACATGTTATTCTATATCACATATAAATAAAAATAAAAATATGAAGAAAAAAAATAAAGTTGTAATTTTTTTTTAAAAAGTATCTTTTACTTTTTTATATAACATGTACCAATTTCATAAAGTAACTTATAGAATTACGTGTATTTTGTTAAAATTTAATTTAAAAATTACTTTTTAAAATAATAGATAACAACTTTTTGGAATATTATATTTTTAAAAAAATACTTTTCAGAATTAGTATGTTTTTTGAAAAGTAATTTTCAGTAATCATAATCTTATTTTTGCACTTTATTTGATACAAACTTTCATGTTTGTTATTATTTAATTTCTATCTTTTCAACCCATATTCATTACTTTTTAAACCCAAACTACTAATCCTTATCTTCACCTCAATTTCATTATTTTTTAAACACAATTTCCATGAAAGTGATAAATGTACTTTCCATTCATTTAATTGATATCGTAGGTTTTTTTCTACATAGTATAATCAATTTTCTTTTGAGCCTGTTGTTGTGTGGGGGCTTGTTGAACTCCTTGTGTCTCTTGTGGTTGTGTTGGAAATGGTCTATTAGAAGCTATGTCACTTTCCATTTGGTTAAGAACTTAATTTTGCATGTATACTATCATAAAACTCTTTCTAAAAACAAGACATGGAACAACAATAATAAATTAATCAAAGCACCAAACAACACTTAATAAGTAATAACATAAACATAATATAGTACTTCCATGAATTCAAAAGAATTTGACAGATTAGAAAAATAGAGCAATAAGTGAAGATCAAGTCTAATGAGGAACTCACCGTGACTGGTTTGGTATGTAGGAGTGACTTTTCATCAATAAGGGTAAAGGGGACAATGATTTGGGAATCGGCAGCACGTGTTTTAGGGTTTTAGGGACTTACACTAAGAAATAAAATATAATGAGTATAAATTATTCTCAATTGGTGATGGAATAAAAATATTAAAAAAAATAAAATATAAGGAGGTTGGTTTGATATGGATCTATTGAATTTTGAAAGTGTCAATCCAATACCCAAATCAATCATGATTGAATTTTATTAAGTTGGTTTAAGTTGGATTTCATCACTCAAAATAGCCTAACTAATTTAATTGGATTAGTTTGATTTGTCGTATATATCAAGTTAATTCTAAAGTATAAAATAATACAAGAAAGATAATTAAATTCTGTTTGAAAAATATTTTAGTTTCATGTAAGAAATTTGTTGCTTAGAAAAATATTAGTTACGAGCTCAAAATAGATAGCATATTGAACTCATAATGAATAATAGTCATGAACTCATAATGGATATTCAACAACTTCTCTAGAATACATTAATTCAATTACGAAACATGTAACCTCTTTGAATATTCATTGTGCTTCATAGAAAATTCTCTTCCCATCAAAATAACGTTTGTAAATATTTAAATCTTTTTTGGTACATATTATTTTACTTTCAAATCAAGAACAATTTATTGGAAAGATAAAATGAAAGAACATAACAGTTTTATATTAATTCACCTTAACACAAGACTATGTTTAATCCTCACTTTAATTGTGAGATTTTCACAATAACCAAAACATCAACATAACAACCGCTCATGGTTGTTTATCAACACAGAGCTCACAACTCTTATAGATTCTACAAAATCACACTGCATTCACTCAATATCTCCCCAACCATAATACCTTTGAGGATTAGGTTATGAAAATAATGATATATAAGTGCTAATTATTTTAATGTTATCATTGACATATTAATTATTTTGTTATTATTTGTATTAAAACATTTCTTAAATATTTTCCAACAGACGAATTCCTTTTACACTATATAAATAGGTAACACAGTGAGTCTTAATACATAACATTATCTATTTTTATAAATTTTATTTCATGCTCTTTGTTATTTTGGACACTGTTCGTGAGACTCCAATGTGTTGGACCTCAATTGCACGAGTTTGAACACATCAATGTGTAAACCAGAGGTCCACTAGAAATTTGCTTTTAGGAAGTGGTTCTTGCCACGACATAATATTCTCTTTCGTTCTTTGCTTATGAAATTGATTTGGTTAATGTATCAAAACTCAAACTCCTTGAAGAAACCAATGACATATACAAACACAAGGATTTCTTATATTCTTCGAGCAACTTGAGGTTGACAATATTTTAAATATGGATAAACAATTCATCAGAGAAAACAACGAGGTAGTGGAAACTAGAATCAAATTAATTGAAAATCACTAAAAGTACAGGTATGTCATATTCTCTTTTAAGTGTATATCAAATTTGTTATTTGATCTATTATCATATTCTCTTTTAAGTGCATATCAAATTTGTTATTTGATCTATGTATCAAACAATTTACAAGGTGTTTATGGACAAAAAATGAGGAAAAAGATGTGATAAAAAAATATTTAATATGAAATTAAAAAGCTATTTAAAAAAAATAATATTGATTTGTTATTTTGTCAAGTTGTAATTTTAATTAGTTGCATATGTTAACAATCTTGTTTTAATGATTGTTTCTTATACAATATTTGATCAAATTTACTTGGCATTTGTTATGTAATCAAATTTTGTGCATGATTCAACGGAAAATCAATTATTATTTTTAATTTGATGGGAAAAAATTGTAGATTTAATCTTAATAAAAATGTTGAAAATATATGCATTGTTAAATGCTTAAACATAGGCAACTAATGTGTATAAATAATATATATAGTGAAAGTGTAAAATTGTTGCTACTTTAGATGTTGTTTTATTATTAGTATAAAATAGAATAAAAATGTATAAAATGAAATGATTTGTTAAAATAAATTACAAGCATGATGGATCAATAAAAAAAAAAGGAATCAAAAGGTTATATTATATTAGGACAATAACACAAGGTCTACAAGCTTAGATTTGATGGTTTAAAACAAACACATAAGTAATGGTATGAGAAGTTCAATAAACACTCTTTGTTCTTGTGTGTTTGTAAAAATGATCTATTATAATTGTGATGTCATATGATGATATGTTGTTATTTGACGTCTGATTAAAAGTGGTGATCAAAATTAAAGAGTTTTTAAGTCCTAAGTTTGAGATGAAAGAATTGGGAGAAACTTGTGTGATTTTAGGTATTAAAATATAAAAAACTAAAAATGGTTTCTCTCAAAATTAAGGTTATCATATTTGAAAATTTATTAAAGAAAATTCAAAAGTTTTAATGTTGTATGTGATATAGCATCATATAATCCTAACATTCATCTTATAAAAAATAAATAAAAATGATGGAATGTCATTGGAAATGGAACCAATGTTTCTTATCTAAATATGCAAAAAAAAATTGGTAGTGTTATCTATCTCATAAATTACACTATAATTGATATTGCATATTTTTAACTAGATTAAGTAATTGCACTCATAATCTAAATGATGATTACTGAAAATTGCTTTTACACCTTTTTTTAAATTATTTAAAGGTACTATGGTTGGGGTTTACAAATTATTAACTTTTCAATTGTCTCAAAAAAGTTTTGTGATGTAAATTGGAGTACACACAATGATGAAGTAAACAAATATATATTCACTTTAAGAGGCGATATTATTTCATAGAAATCAATAAAATAAACATGTATGACATAGTTTACAATGGAATTGACATTCCTAATGCTTGAACGTGCAAGTAAATAAGCATAATAGCTAATAGCTAAAGAGGCCTAATGACTAATATACTATTGTAGGGGAAACCTACATCTCTTGTATCCCTTCATTGTGTTTAATAAGCTGCAATTGTTATGGCTAATAGTGCTTATAATGGTAAGAGAAGATAAATATGTATGAGACATAGTGTTGTAAGAAGTTTAATTAAAAATTGTAATATCTCACATGAGTATATAAAAAGTGAGAAAAATTTTGCAGATCCTTTCACAAAAAAAGGATTACCTTGGAAAATTGTCCAAGATATATCGAGGGGGGTGAACTTTAAACCATGGGTAGAAGAAAATATGGTGGACACCCAATTAATGGTCAAATAAAACCATATGAATACTCATATACACTACATTTCTCATCCTTATGGCATTTGGTAGTGCTTGATGTGAAGTTGAGTCATGAGCTCTTAATAGATACATAATCTTTGATATGGGTGACATTATAGAGATGCACTTGAAGTATCTATCTACGTGAGTGGGAAGGCATAGACTACCTTCCATGAAAGACTTTGATTATCTTTCTAGAGAACTCATAAGTAACCCAAGGTGAATATACATATAAATGCCTAAAATATGTAGTAAATTTTTAATTGCAAAAGTTATCACATTTTTAAAGGTAAATGTGTGTTGTGGGGGTCTCATCTTAAATCCATTAAGTTCAAGAATAATTCACTTTTTAGACATAAGGTGTTACTTACTACATTATGTGTTAATTCAATCTTATAGACATTAACACTTAAGCATAAGAACCTTTCCTTGGCCAAAATTTGTTTTCTCTCTTTCACTTATTTGCCATTAGTGGGGATATGAAAATAATGACATATAAGTGCTAATTATTTCAATGTTATCATTGACATATTAATTGTTTTGTTACCATTGATATTAAAGTATTTCTTAAATATTTGTCAATGGATTAATTTCCTTTACATTATATAAAGAGGTAATATAGTGAGTCTTAATATAGAGAATATTATCTATTTTTATAAATTTCTTCATACTCTTGGTTGTTCGGAGCATTGTTTGTGACATTCCAACGTGTTTGACCTTGAATGTATGTGTTTGAACACATCGTCGTGTAATACTTGGGGAAAAAAATTGGTTATTGGGTCGCATCAAAAGTCCATCAAAAATTTGTTTTTAGGACAATGATTCTTATCACAACACATTATTCTCTTTTATTCTTTTTCTACTAATATTTTTCTAACATGGGTTAGGATTAGGGTTGGACAATGAAAATAAATAAATTAAACAATAAAAATCGAACTATTCTCCTTAAAAATTGAATTGGACTATTCTTTTTTATATATAAAAATTTGATTTGAGTTGAATTCTTTAAAAACTGAGTTGAATAATAAAAATTGAATTGAACTAAATTATTTTCATAAAGGGTAAAATTTAAAGGTGTAAAAATGACTCGATTTGATGGATGGACTCGACATGAAATGTCTTAAGAAAAAAGTTGGGGCAATTTGGTTAGGCCTAATAGGCTAATTGGACTAGGATGGGTTACTAATTTTCATGCTTGAAATCCATTGATCTATTGGGCCTAATATTTTTATATATACATTTTCCTTTGTAAAATTTAAAAATAAAATAAAATGAGGTTAGTTAGGCTATCTTAATCAACCAACAAGTTAAAATAATTTTATAGTATAATTAAGTTAAAGTTCAATTCAATTTATTTTACTCACTCCTAGTTAAGATGATACAACAATCAATCAATGTTGTATATATGTGATTATTTGCACAAATTATAACTTTCCTTCTCTTTCTCACTTTCTCACTCTAAGAGAGATTTTCACTAAGAAAAAATGATTCACTTTTATGTGTTTAAGGATGAACTCTTAGATAAAAAATAAATACATTCATTCTTTCAATAGATAAATAAAACAAAGAGTGAATATTCTCATTACACTTAATAAAGCTCGAAACTCTCTCTATTTCTCTCTTAATATATATTTACCATTGAAGCATTTATTGCTCCAATATTCCTTATTATTTAAGTTAAAACAATTTTGTATTGGTTAATAAACAAAATAATATTCTTAATTTGTGTCTTATAAAAAAATATTAATTACTCCATAGTTTTTAATCTTAAATGTGATTTATTTTAAAATTTAAGAAATAGGAAGTTTATGATTAAACGCTTAATGAATAAGTAACCTTAGTCAACTAAATTAAATGTGCAAAATAGTCAGTTTATAATTTTCTGTTTAATTCCATTATTTATCCCCGAAACACACCTGAAAATCGTGTCAGATAATTTTGTCCCTGCCACCGACTGCGTTGTCCAATCTCCAATCCATTTTTCCAAATTGGAAGCAAAGTTTTTACTTCAAATAAAAGGAAAAGAAGATTAATATTTAATTAGTTGGCAATAAATCGATAATCAACAACATTAACAAGAGGTTGGTGACTCTGTTGTGGCGCAAGACAATAACCTTCAAACCAATTCTTCAAAAGCCTAACGCACCTTTCATCCAAACCAAGCTTCAGATCCAACGCCTTCAAATTCAGATCTGCAACCTTCTCTTTCTCTCAATCAACCATCCACAGGTTAGTTCCATGCTTTCTGGAAATTAAAATTAAATGGTGCAATCAATTTTTCATGGTGGGTATGGACAAAAACCCATCTTTGATCTTAAAGGTTGCATTTTTATTGAGTTTCTACGTGTTTGATTTGTACGAGGTAAATTTAGCTCAAATGGGTGTTTATAGCTCTCACCTTTTACCAGAGAAATGGTCTTTTTATTTAGCTTCACGTTTGGTGACTATGAGCTGATTTTGGGTCGGTTGAAAAATGGCAGTGCATAACATCCCGGAATTTGTTTTTAACTTTTTTTTTTTTTTGGTGTTGAAAGGGCATGGTTTATTAAATTCGATTATTATTTTTAACCATTATGGTATTTTTGGGGGCTTACCTTTAGTGTAGATAGTTCAGGGGTTTGTTGCTGTTTGAATCAATTTCAATTTCAAATTCAATCTAAATTTTGAAGAATTGTTATTTTTACTCTATGTTTTCTCAGCAATTGGTTTTGTAATATGGTTTTGTTTGAATTTAATTATGGGTAGATTTAGCCATCTACTATGAAAATTTTGACTTGTACTTTTACAGGTAAAGTTCTAGTCTTCAGTTTAATCCAAGCCTAATTAATTATAGAGTGGCTATCGAAGTGCTTTGGAGCTGGTTCTTCTTTTGGACAACTGAAATAAAGAGGTGAGTTTTGTGCCTGAACAGCGGCCATGCACTAGCTGTGTTATGCGCCAAAGTGTACTTATGTTGTTGGATTTGGTGGCAAGTGATGATATTAAACATAAGTTGTATGGAAGAGTACATTCATGGATATAACTCGGTATGCAATAGGAGATGGTACAGAGTGAATTAGATTCAGAGAATGGCGATCTCACAAGGATTGATGATATTGGCAGTGAAAGCCTAGGTCGTGGCATTCGTAGAGAACTTTCATTTTCACGTTGGTGTGATGATGATGGAGGGATCCATTTGGATCAACAATTAGGTAATGGAGATGTTAGTGTAGAAGAAGACTCCGATTTTGAGTTACCATTTCCACAAAAGAATGAGCTGCAGGGCAGAGCTTTAGATAGAGAGAGATTCTTTCACCAAAAGTTTCAGCAGAGGAGTATGCTGATGAACAGTGCCGGTAGCATGGATGATGATTCTGTTCATAGGAGAGTTAATGTATCTGAGAAGTATGTCTCTTTTGACATTGAGGACAAGTCTGAAAGAGTAACAAATGGTGTTGATTCCTACATTTCTGTGGGTGGTGATGAGTCATTGGTAAAAGACTCCCAGAATCCTATTCATGTAGCAAATATCTTGAAGACATTGTTTTTGATACTTATGTGGTACACGTTCAGCCTATTTTTGACCCTGTAAGTTCCTAGTTTACCCAGTTTAGTGTTTGTGATGCAAATACTTTTTTCTTTTTTTCTTATTCTGAACTTTTTTGAACAGGTATAATAAAAGTCTATTAGGAGATCATATGGGAAAGTTCCCAGCTCCTTTTTTGATGAATACCATCCACTTTACAATGCAAGCTGTTTTATCAAAATTTATCACCTGGTTTTGGTCTCATAGATTTGAGACTAATGTTTGTTTTTCTTGGAGGGATTACTTTTTGAGAGGTAAATTTTCAATTCCTCTACCTCATTCTTGCTATCATTGGTTTTAATACAGCCCACCACTTTGTTATGTTGATTAGATATACAATGGTGTAACTTCTTAACACATTTTGGGTAGTAATTTTTCTTATAACTTAATGAATGTTATGAATGCGGAATGGCATCAGTTATATTTTCACTTCTAGTTTTGATTTAAAGTAATTTGTATTTCTCTGTGGTGATGTTATATCTTCTGAAAATAGGAATTAATTTTCTTGCATTTTTCTACTCAAATATCAAAATTCTAGCAGTATTGTACTATTGTGGTCAAAACATGTAAACTTTTTGTGGCTTGGAATAAAGACTAAGTCAAACATACTTCACGCTCATGTTTGTTTGTCAAGTGACTGTTTGTATGGTGTGACAAATTAGCCCAACTTATCTCCTATTGCCTGGTCAATTACGTGATGAATGTAAAAAAATATCAAAATTTGGCTAAACAGTCCTTTCATTTTGTTAGTTGTCATCTAGAAGACTGAAACATGTTCAATGTTAGTCTCTATGCAATGCACTTCCAGTTTTTTCGCTTCTAAACATGCCATTATTTTGACTTGGTCAACTATATGAAAGCATACAACTATTGGAATATGGCACCCAAATCCTTTTTTAATCATTAAGTTTATTCTAGAATGATATTCAATTTCATCTTTTTTTATTTCTTCTTAATTTCTTTTGGTTTTAGTGAGTTGGCAAGTCCAACTAGAACTAAGTAGGAGAGCTAGTTGAGCTATTTTTCAGTTTTAACTATTGGAACAATTTCAATTTTTGTCTTTGTTGTGTAGTATGAAGGCTCTATCACCTCTAACCATGTCATTTTTTTTAAATGAAGATTTTATTGAAAAGGAAAGAAGTTATAAACTCTCCAAAGTCATTTGTTCCTTACTTCCAAGAAGTTATAAACACCCCCTTCTAATAATTTAATAGTGGAAGCTCACCTATGTTCCAATTTTGAATAATTGGCCTAAATCATCAATTCTGGTTATTTGCTGACTCGAGTATCTATTTTTCCATTGAAATGCACAAATTTGCTAGCAATATGAAATGGTCTAACAACTCCTAGGATAATTGAATGTGCCAATTTTTATGCTATTCTTTTTTTTCCCCGCTTATGCTAATCTTCTACCTTGAAGCACACCTTTTTTTTTTTGTGTAGATTTCTCACCACTTATTACATTAACTTTTATATCAACTAATGCCACAGATGGACTTTGCCTTTAACAGTTGTACCAACTGCTTTTGGAACTGCAATGGATGTTAACTTGAGCAATGCATCTCTAGTTTTCATCTCTATCACATTTGCTACAATGGTTTGTTCCGTTTCTCTTCTTTTCATGTAGAACACGTGAAATCTTAATTCTATCAGATTCTACTTTTTTTCTTCCCATTTTAGTGGAATTAACTATTCCTATTCTTATATACCTTTCCTTTTCTCTTACAGTGTAAATCTGCTGCTCCAATTTTTCTCCTTCTGTTTGCTTTTGCTTTCAGGTGAGTTCCCTGTCATTTGTCTTTGTAACCACTATGATTATGTGATTCTTTTAATTACTTCAGATAAATGTTAACATTCTAAAATTTAAGCAGTTGCTTCAATAAGATAATTCATAGGTGTATTGCGTTAATGAAAATATTTTTTTATTATGAAGTGTTGCATAACCCAGAAGGCATTAGGTGTGTATAATCATTATGTACAGAAATAGTTATTTATTCTGTAATCAGGTAGAATTCTTTTAAATTGTCATGCTAACAATTATTTCAATTAACATTTCTGTATTTTCTAATCTGTTGTATTTTTTGTTCTGCTAATTTTTTTTAATTAGTTCTCAAGCAATTACATGTTTGGTTATGCATCCTGTAGATAAAGATAAATTGTGTTCATATAATTATTTTTACCTGTTTTCTGACATTTACTTTTGAATTTTGATTGAAAGGTTGGAGGCACCTAGTGTTAAACTATCAGGCATCATCTTAATTATCTCTGTTGGCATATTACTAACAGGTATGATATCTTCCTTCACTTTTGCAATAGTAATGTGATTAATATTCCCCAATTACTAAAGTTTAAATTAAAAGAGATTAAGGGAAGACTACTGGGTTAAATGCAATAGAGAGCCAAAATAGACTGGGGAAAGATATTACTTCAAGTTCAAAATGAAATAGCATCCACACACAAGTTAGGAAGGACATTTTATTCTAATAAGTAAGTTTGAAGGTTAATTAACTAAACAGTTTCAGAATTTAAAACAGCCAATAGGTTCTTCATATTTTTGTTGGAATTCTCTATCAATTAAAAGTATTTGTTTTTCCCATTAATGTTTGTGTTGAAAGATTCTCTACTTATGTTGGTTGAGTTTATTTTTTCCCCATGAATCTCGATCTTTAATATTCAACAAAAATTTATCAAATTACATTCTGCAAGATTTAGGAATTTATACCATCTGTTTAATTTTATTTTGGTGTACTGCAGTTGCAAAAGAGACCGAGTTTGACTTTTGGGGATTCATACTTGTTATGCTTGCTGCTGTTATGTCTGGGTTTCGCTGGTGTATGACTCAGATCCTTTTGCAGGTATTTTATTTACCTTTTCATTTCTCTGTATATTTGATATCTACATGTCTATTATGTACACAAGACACAGACACACATTCATGCTCTTATTTTTTCTTCTTTTGTTAACCTGATACATTGCTTCATTTTGTTGGGTTTGAACCTGATTTTCATTCTTGCCATTTGTGCTGAACTGAACCAAATTGAAAGAAAGAAGCCTACGGTATGTGCCTTGCATAACTTCATGTAAATAATTTGTTGAAAATATTAATCTTATATGATATATTGAGTGAACTGTTTCACTTAATCAAAATCATTAATGTTTCTAAATTTATTTATTTATTGTTGGTTTTGTTCCAATAATTCATAAATCTGAAATTAACTTCTTCCAGTTTATTCATGTTTTTTTTTTGACTATGTATTCTTTCTGGACAGTCATTCATGTCTATGACAAAATAGTGTGATATTGCAGCTTTAGAAAATGGTGCATTATGCCCAAGTAATTGAGCTATTGAAGCTTTAAGGAAACTTATTACCATATATTTTAAGAGCTTTTTATATTGGTAAAAAAAGTTTATTGAGATTAGAGAAAGAATTTCAAAGAGGAAGGAGGACAAAGAATCTTCCTAAACAAAAGGGAAAAAATTTGAGAAAGAGAAGATTAATGAGGCAGCTCTTAGATGTTAATTTTTCACCTTTTAGTTCGATTCTCCTTGCTGTAAAACTGATGGATCAACAATGGTGACTTCAACTGTCAGAGAGGGACAATAGCTTCTTTTGTATAGAACTTGCTGCCTTTTCTATTAGTTATTCCTTCATCTCATAAACTAAATACTCCCGATGCTTCACAGTAGATTTTTGTAATCCCAAATTACATTAATAAAGCAGTTTGCTTCTTGCTGAAAAAGTATTAGGATCTTGTTTTTACTTTGCCCTTGAGCCTCACTTGTGTCTTGGAAATATGTTTTAAAGCAACTAACTACCCTTTAGGCCATATAGATTGACTTATCTTAATAAACTTGAAAGCTGAATTACATTGCAATCAAGATATTTTTCAATCGTGGAATCTTACATTTAAAGCACAGGGTTATTGATTTTTAAGCTCCAGAAGAAATTAATACATGTGGTTAGTTGAAAATATGTATGGAAATGTTGATTTAAATACTCTTCAAGAAATTGATCTTTTTCCTTTGATAAAAGAATTTAATAAAAAGGAAGACAAATACTGAAGAAGAGGATCAGGAATCCTCCTTAGAACATCAAAATCAAGGATAAAAGGTAAAGACCAATCAGCTCAAAAGAGCAGAGCACCAAGCACTTGATGTGGGTCTTATAGTTCTAAAATTATAGAGCGTGATTATTTATTTCAAGATTTAATGAGGCTAACCTTTTAAAATGACATATTACAGTGTTTCTCTCTTTCTAAATTCTCACTCCATCTAGCATTGAGTTGTTTTTTCCCAGTTAGAATTTTCAAAGTGCTGTTATATTTTAGCAAAAATATTATATGCCTTTTGACCTTTTCAAATGATTTCAGGTCTGAAAAATCCACTTGTGCTGATGAGCTATGTAACTCCAGTAATGGCAGCAGCAACTGCCCTTCTTTCTCTAGCATTAGATCCATGGGATGAATTCCGAGAAAACAAGTACTTTGATAATCCAATGCATATTACTCGAAGTTGCTTTTTGATGCTTTTTGGTGGCACACTTGCCTTTTTTATGGTAAGATTGTATATTCCCTTTAAGGTGCATGTATATTCTATTATCTCTCTTTCCATGCTTCAAGGTGCATGTATATTCTTTTATCTCTCTTTCCATGCTTCAAGGTGCATGATAATTCAAGGATTTTTAACATTTTTATACTTGTTAGTTATTCTTTTGACTTGTCTTGAACAGGCTTTTGTTTACAGATATTAGTTAACTTTAGTCTTTCTCCATACCAACATTTGGATCTTTAACTTCTTGCAGGTGCTAACAGAATATGTTCTGGTCTCAGTAACTAGTGCTGTCACAGTCACAATAGCTGGGGTTGTTAAGGAGGCCGTCACCATATTGGTATCGATTATGTTTTGGGATGATTTCCATTTGTTGATATGGTTAACCAGTGACTGCCCCTTTTATTATTCAATCAAATATTTCTAGACTACCTAGTTCCACTTCTGTGCTGTAACTCTTGATTACATTTCTGCAGCATTTGCTTTCATTTAGCAATGATATTTTATTTACTAGGATCCTTGCTAAGCAAAACATTAACACTCATTAGATGAAAAAAAGGTATTAGCATTTGTAGAACTGTTAGTTTTTGCAAAATCAGTTGCCCAAAATTGTCTCTCTTTTATTCACATACTTGCTACATGTGATGTGCATATAAGACAGAAATTAGTCAAGTATAAAATAGACCCAGAAACCTTAAAAGAAAGAAATTTCATATTTTGGTTTGATCCTGATGTTAGGGTCCAGCTGGAATATTTCAAATAATTAATTAGAACTGTCATTTTTGTTTATTCTTTAGGTAGTTGTTGTATTTAGCTTTCTTTAGTATTTAATTTAGGTAATTTTCCAATTCTGTATTGTAGTAGAGTTTGACATGTTATTTTAACTTGAGCACTAACCGATTCTTGAGTTTCAACATCATCTCTTATAGATATGCATTATTCATATAATGCAACAGATATATATTATTCATATAATGCAATGCAACCACAGATATGTATTATTATATTCAGATAATGCTTTGTATTGAATGGATAAATGATTGGATTTTTGTTTTTAGTTTTTTTAATTTTCTCACATCTGGTTCTGTACATCTACTTGAACTTAATATTCTGGTTTTATGTTTGTGTGTAGGTTGCAGTATTGTACTTTCATGATCAATTCACTTGGTTAAAAGGATTTGGTCTATTAACTATTATGGTTGGTGTCAGTTTGTTTAATTGGTACAAGTAAGTCATCACTGGACATATATTTCAAGCAACAATATCTAATTTATGACCATTGTTTTCTCAAATTTTAACTTATTCTCTGATAGCAAAAATTTGTGTTATTTTTAAATCTGTTCACAAATTTTCTGGCTTTTAAACTTTCGGCCACACTGGGGGATAATTGAATAATCATTATAATTTATATTCCCACTTCCAGAACCCCTTGGGATGCTATCTTCTGCAGTTTAGATATTGATGCTTAGGGCATAAAGAAAGGAAAAATTTATTGCATGATATTTGTAGTTGATTTGCCTGAACTTAAATAGGTTGCACTTTTAGGACTGTTAAAAGAGAGAAAACAGAGACATACAAGATGCTGAAACGGTGTTTATAAACGACACCATGGAGATATGTTTATATAGACTTGTTTCATTTAATAAACATGAATAGGGGATATTTTGTTTCCCCTAAGTACGATATTATGTGCCTATAAACTTGATATAATAACTACTAATTATTACATTATGATTCTCAACCTTGACATTCAACTCCACATCTTATGTTGAGGGCTAGAGTTGTGATTTATATCTTGGCATCGTTTCCATGCCAATGGCTTTTAAGGAATCTTTGCATTTTCTTTTTATTACATTTGTTAGTTATTATATTTAGTATTTCAACTCAAATAAAATAATATATATTCTTTTTGTTTCTTCATTAGTTCAGGAAAGTTGTGCCAAACTTCTTCATACTCTATATATTTCTTTATAAGAGAATCTTGAAAAAATAATGAAACCACTTTTTTACACCTTAGCTTATAGTATGTAAAACATTGGAACTGCAACTTTTTTTATCTGAATAATACAACGCCTAAGATCAAATTACAACACGTTACTACTTAAATCTTGTCTGCATGCAAGTTTTTTGGGTCTTGCAACCATTTACCTTAGGGCATCGATTAAGGAATCAGAAGTAGGAAATTTTTATTGAGAAGTTGCATGAGAATTCACAGAATTTGCAGTTACACTTCCCAATAAAAAAACTTTTTTTTGACTCCTTAACTAGTGTCCTAAGAAGTAAGAACACAAGCTAGCATTTTCCTTTTTCATTTTTACCAAAGCCAAACAGGTGTTTCTCAGACATAGTAATACTTCCTTTCAATTTAATGCTAATCATTAAAAGTGTGTTCTTTTTTGGAAAATAATTCAGATACCTTAAGCTTCAGAAGGGCCATGGAGGTGGCAGTGAAGTGGCAGAGCTTTCAAGAGATTCTGGAGCCAAATATGTTATTCTTGAGGAGATGGATGAACAAGAAGATGGCATCTGATACCATTAAGGACCAAATCATTCAAAGCCAAAGTAAGCCTCTTCTCAGATGCCAGTTTAATGAACAAATCATAGCATAATATTTGATACATTCATTCATATATTGTTACTTCCTACTCTGGTATTTTTCCAAAAGCAGCAGATTTTACATGTTATCATAGATAAAAATGAAGACTGGATTCATGCAAGTGGAAGTTTCATTTATAACAAAGTTCCTAGTTTTTCATTTGCAAGGAAATTTGTAATGCATTTACTTATGAAACAAATTCTATTTTGTGGCTGAAATGTTAATATATGTAAATTCTGAGTATTTTCCAGATGTAGCATTTTTTTTTCCATAATTTGATAATGATTACAAGTCTTAGTTAATTGTTCACTGAAGCCTTCTTCCCTGCATTATATGTATATTGAAGCAATGATCTGTAAAGAGCAAAGACCAGAGGGCACAAAATAATCTTCCAGCAACATGCCAGTTGGCCTGCGCCATCTCATCTTTTTGAGACACGTGTTTATGTTCCCTGTTGGAATTGTGGTGTTAAAGTTCTTTCCAACTTTCTGAGTAAACCAAATTTCAAGATAAAATGCTCTCCTGCATTTAACATCACTTATATTCTGTGAAAAAATATATGTACCCTACCAGTTTAGAGATTTTGGCATTCTTTGGAGTGATAAGATATCACAACAGGTTGTAATACATCAATTTTTCTCAGTTTTGCTTCCTAGTATGGAATTGTATTTTTCATCATGTTACCAGTATTTTCTTGTATATACTAAATGCAGTTCTTAATTTCTTATCAACTCACAAATTGGTAGTGGCTATTCAACAATCTTGAATTTGAATTTTGTTGTTATGATGGAAAAGCAACTTAACATCAACCAGACTTTTGTATTTGCAATAGCATCTACATTTAGTTTTCTTATAGCTACCTATTGAACCTCTAGTCTTGCAAGTTGGAAGGTGAAGAACAAGCATTAATTAGCATTCTTGGAATTGTATTTTTCATCATGTTCCGTGATCACTGATTTATTGTGCACCAAGTGATTCAAATTATGCTAAAGAAACCAAATAATCATTGGCCACTCCCAATCAACCTTTAGATGTCGTCCCTAGAATCCCTAAAAGTGTACAAACCTTTGTCCTAAACCTACTAGGACTAAGATCTGGGCCGAAAATTATGGGCCAAAGATTCCTTTATCAATTATCAACCCCAATGCTGACCAGAAAATAAGAGAAATTCACTTGTTTTTCTTGCTTGGATGTAGGGTTCATATATGATCACCCTCCTAGGGACTTGGTTCAGACTTTCCTTCTTGATGCTATGGCTACTAAAAAGAGAAAATAAAAAGAAATATCCCACTTCCAAAGACTGCTGCAATTAGGCAGTCAGATTTTTAGGATCTACTTGCATGTATTTCTTTCTTTTTTAAAAAAAAATTGATATATATATATATATATATATATATATATATTTTTTTTTTTTTTTCAA